CCTGGGTCTTGCTTTTCCGAGACTCGGGTCCCTTAGTGGCTTTAAGCTCAAAACAGAAAATGTGTCGGCTGAGCCATTCAAGACTCTTCCATGGTCTGAGAAAAGTTTTAACTTCCCTCTAATCAGACACTCCTCCATGCAGGACGTGGACATTGCATGCAGACCCAGAATCCCACTTCATTTTCATCTAGTTAAACCTCACGTCCTAGAGACACCCCCCACGGCTAGAGCTGGAGCCAGTTCCCCCATCCTGGCGGCTCCCTGGGGTGCACACGCAGGGTCTGCACCCGCTCTGCTCAGTCCTGCCCAGTGGCATGTCCCCCACTGCCTCCTGGTGGCTTCTGACCACCTCAGGAGCCAGACATCCTTCTGACTACCTTGGCGCCGGAGGGAAGACAGAGCTCCTTTGAAAACTCTCATCTGGATCATATTATCTTCCCCTGGAAGGAGGGAAGTCAGCTCCCTGGTGGTGTGTTTCCCACTGTTCTGTAGGATCCCAGGCACACGCATCACCTGCTGACAGAGCAAAACTCTGTTCCATTTTAGGTTTAGGGTCAGAAAAGCTTCATTACACTCCTTAAGTGAGAGGTTAGGTGCTGTTTTCCTGAGTGATTAATGATATGTGTAATTTTAAACCATCATTATCTCCTTCACTAGACATAGTGACCTTCCACAATTATCTGTTTTGTTTTGCAAAAGTTAATGCATCTAAAACCACAGATTTGATTTCCTAGATCAGTACAGACTGTGAGGTAAAACAATTTGACAATAAGAAAAACCTTATCTCTATATTATATCATTAAAAAATCGAAGCTTATTCTCTGACACATCACTAAGGTATATAATAATGGCAGTGCTTCCTCTTCTTAGTAGTGATAATTATTATCATCCATCAGGCCACTCTCTGGCATCTTAAGCTAGTTGTCAGTAGCCTGAAAGCCTGATTTTAGACCTTGGCTTGTTACTGTGGCTAAAATAGGGAAATACATATTTGGAAAGAATACAATGTTTCTGATCTATATAGATGTTTAAGCTGGGTGACAAACTGATTTTCCTTTATGCTTGAAGAAACGGTGTGGTTAGAGACTGCTGCATGCCTGTGTCTAGAATTCCTTTCTGCTCAGTTGTGTTTACAGAGATTCCACTGAGCTTAATCTAGACTCTGAATTCACGTGTCGTTAACAAGTACAGATTGACCTCTCCATGGCCCTATGGCTGGCACTGCAGGATACAAAAACACAGCAGAAACTCTGGGTGTGGGCTGAGGCGTGCTCGGGTCACCAGGCTCAGACTGGGGAAGGTCCCATGTGGGGAAGGCCGTTGGCTGCAGGGACTAGCAGGGCTTCTGAAGAGCCCAAGGCCCAGCAGCTTGGAGCGCGGTGAGCGGTGGAGTCGGGCTGGACCCATCATGTGGGCTTCAGGGCCATGCTAAGGTGTTCAGATTTTGAGATAGGTGGGAGCCACCGGTGGGCTCAGTGTGGGAATCGTATGATGTGGTGTGCAGTTTAAGAAGTCAGTTTGACCTCACCTTGGAGAAAAGCGCACGAGGTGAAGACTCAAGTGGATGGCTCAGTTAGGAGGTTGGTCCCACAGCTGGAGAGGGGTGGTCCCACAGCTGGAGACAGAGTGGACCCACAGCCTAGAGACAGGGTGGTCTCATGGCCTGGAGAGGGGTGGTCTCACAGCTGGGGAAGGGGTGGTACCACGGCCTAGAGAGAGAGTGGTCTTACAGCTGGAGGGGGGTGGTCCTACAGCTGGAGAGAGGGAGGTCCCACAGCCTAGAGAGAGTTCTAGGCACCATGGAGATGCTATCTGTACTAAGGATAGAGAACTGGGGGTTCAGACAGGCCACGTAGGTCTGGGAGTAAGAAGGTTCTAGGCGTGGACCTGTCAAGGGCAGAGACCTGGAGACACATTTTTTAACTAGATAAGATCATATATAAACTTGAAATAATTACATATACAGATATATATTCATATTTATTTAATACATTTGCATAATTTTGCAAATAAAAACCTCACTGTCTAAGCACTTGACTTCACTCTGATTATGGAATTCCTCACTACCTGAGTTCACTGTTCACATAGGTGCCGTTTTTCCAGAGTAACTCAGAGGATAAAATCATCATTCAGCTAAAATTCTTTGCATGGCTAGTGCATGCGGGTCACTAAGGGAGGATTGGAGATGGTTACATGACTCTGAGTGTGCACCTTACTAGTGAAATGAATTCCCCACTTTTAACTTGAAGTCCAGGGCCTCACACCAAGACACCTTGGGCCCTGGTCCCTGACAACTCCACTCCTGCCCGTCCTGCCTCACTGTACACCTCACCCCACACCACACCACATACCTCACCCCACACCTCACTCCGTACCTCACCCCACACCTCACCCCACACCTCACCCCACACCCCACCCCACACCCCACACC